CTGGCAATGGGCATCTTCAACAATCTCACTTTCCTGCTCCATGTTTCAAGATTAACATCAGACTTTGGTGAGACTTTAGGCTGCTTGTAAATAAGTTTAAGTTGCTGAGATGCACTTAACACTTTGGTCAGTAAAGAAAAGGTGGCCAGGAATATTTGGAGCAGGTTCATTCCCATCCCCTCCCAGTCATTATATCATCTAAATCAATTTTACCTTATGATTCAAGATCTCATTCATCCTCCTAGTAGCCTCTGTGGTGTGAGACTCTGGGAAGTATTTCTTGGGGACAACACCGTACTTTTCTAAAAGACATAAAACTACAGGTTAACAACTGGCTTTTCCACACAACAGATGCTCATACTTTGCTTGTACCCATGTAAAAGCTAAGGAGAGTTTGGATCTGTGCAGAGATTATAAGGGAAAGTCTTTTACTGAAAAGGTTACAAGTACTCCAAGTTTACATTTTAATTTGTGACTGAATCTTCACCTCTGAACCACATTCCACAGGGGTCCCAGAATGTGGAATCCCTGAACTGCTCAGTATCATTTAACTCGACACTTGAAAGTTCTAAACTAATTAGTGCTTTAAGTTCTTTTCACCAGAAAAAAGAAAACCAACTTGATTACTTTAAAATTAAGCTCCTGAAATACCTTCTAAAGAACTGGGCCTCCTATGAAGCACTCCATGTAGTTTATCTGCAGTTAACTGACTAACTTCCTGGTCTCCTTTCCTCCTAAATACTTATAAAATACCAGCAGCAGCTCAGCTGTTTCCTATGCTGTGGTACCAATAACAGATCACACCATGCAAGGCTCTGGATGTAACTGCAGCAGCAAAAATCTTCTTTGCCCTGATTAAGTATTAATAACGAATGGGTGAGGGGAAAAAAGGAACCTCCAGGCTTCAAAGAAACAAATTCCTTTTGTGATTCTAAATATCTGTTATTGGCTTGTTGATTTACAAAAGGTATCACATTGTTTCACAACACAAATGAAAGCAAGTGCTGGTGTAATTAAGTCTCTCCATCAGCGTAGGATCCCGTTTATGCTGGATCTTTGTAAGACCAGCACTGCCACATTCCACATCAATTCCCTCTCACTGGTCTTTGTACCAACTTCAGGTTGCAACTCCAAGTAGTTTTGCTCCTGCCTGGTAGACACACCCAAGTGTAGCCACTTTTTTTCCTTACCTTGTGCCCTAAAAATTGTACACGTGGATATAAATAAATAATGTTGAGTTGACAACTGGAGCAAAAAGGGATTGAACCTTTTTACTAAATGGGAAGTCTGGGATATCTGATTATTTGATCTTCTGAGCTGTCAGCAGCAGCAGCAATATGCTAAAGCAATGCAAGAGAATTTAAGCCCAACATGAAAAAGGTCCTTGGTTAGAAAAGGCAGTGGTTAATGGCATCGTGTTCCTTCCCAGGTCCCAAACTCCGTTTCTTCTTCTGTTCCATTCCCCATCTCAAACCAGTGTGCAAATTCAGGAAGGGCTCCTAATGACCAATTCTCTTACCAATAATGTTAACCAGCATATCCCACTGTCCTCCATCATTGGTGGGGTTGGACAGCAGGAATTGGACCAGTCTTCCTTCCACTGGCTCCTTTTTCTGGGCTGTTTCCACAAAAGCATTTAAAAAGTAGTAACAACGCTCAACCTGAAACACAGGGGAAAAAAACCCTTTTAAGCCTTTAATTAATATAATTAATTGCTGAATATTCAAGTTGTTTGGAAGCACAAAATAGATGAAGCTACTTCCTGCTCATCCACTGAAATCCTTTTTTTCCCCCCTCTAGCATTCCAAGGGCTACCTCTTTGTTACAGACCAAACATTTAGGGGTGAGTTAGCTCAGAGCTTGAGGGTAGGGGAACAGGAAATGTGAAGGAGAAGTTATGCAATGAAGCCTGGCCCAAACTAGCACTAGATTCGCTTGATTTCCCTTAGGGGGACGAGCAGACACACAGCAGGTGACAAGCATGAGTGACAATCATGTTTCCCCTGAGCCTCCAAGGAGTAACTTATGAAATATCAAGTAACTCCTGAAGTATCAAGTAACACTTGAAAAAAGACTTTTACTATTCCAAAACATCAACATGTTGACAACTTTCTTCTCAAGCTGAAAGTCACACTTTGCTCGACCTGCATTTAAAATGCATTTTTAAAGAACTTTTGAAGTTTCTTCCCACGTGTGTTTTCCAGATGTATTGTTAAAACAACCAAGCCTAAAAGAAGTCCTGTCCCAACACTAACACCTGATTGCATAAGCCACCCTAGCACAACCTGCACGACTGTACCTTATCCCAGAAAAAGAGATAGGACTGGCTGAACTCAAACTCTTCAATGTTGTATTTCTTCATGAAAGGGAGACGCATCGCGTTGAGACAGGAAAAGATCCAGCATCTCCCTGAGAGATCAAAGGAACAAGGATTAAAGTGGAACGCCTGTACTCAAGAGCTGCACAACAATTCCTTTTACCACGAGATTCATGACACAGTTCTGCCTCCAGCCTTTGGCCAGGGCTGTACCACACCAAAAAGCTCTGAAGGACTTCTGAAATCTTCCACTGCGAGCACCGGTCTCAGTTACAGGAGGAAGGAGAGGGAAACGCTGCAAGCCTGAAGTCTGTTATTAACTCAGGAGATGCTGCAGGGATTCAGCTTTGCTCCGGAGCCCGGACAAAGGGCTCCCAGAAGCACAGTCAGTGTTACCAGTCAATCCCCAAACACCACCCCGGGCCCGACCCCCTCTCACCGGAGTTCTTCTGGTTGGTGACGGGCTTGCCCTCGGCGGGCACGGCGTGCTGGAACACCTGCACGGTGTCCTGCACCACCTGGCGCTGCAGGCACACCTCCAGCGGGTCGTTGCATGTCGCCACGTTCTGGGCCAGCAGGAACTGCGGCTCGGCCCGCAGCCGCCGGCTGAAGGCGACGGCCTTCTCCGTGCTGAGCCCTGCCGAGGGGACACGGGGACACAGTCGCGGCCGGCTCCGCACCACCAACAACCCCCGAGGAACCCCCTCCCTCACCGCCCCCCTCCCCTCCCTGGCCCATCGCAGGGTCTCCCGGCCCCCCC